AGTCTTGAAGGTTGGCCGCGAACTTGGAATATTTGGTTCTGTCAAGTGCAAGGCGAAACAGTTCCTCCGCTGACCTTATCCCCGTCCACTCCCTAATATTACGTAGCTGCGACTTTTTCCTACGTCCAGCGCGTCTTTTGCCTTCAATCTTGATTCTCGCAGACTAAATAGTCTTCATTGAAGGGATAAAATTAACTAAAAGTTACATTATTTATATCGTAAGAAAGAAAATTCGTAAGAACATATTGATACTTTTTCACTTATAAAAATTTAAATATAGTATCAAAAAATTTGTTTATATTTCGTTTTAACTCAAGAGATTTATTTACGTGATAATGCACGTGACCTTATAAAATAACGTTTCATACAATGTTGAGACAAATAGCTTGTACCTGTTTCGATTGATGAAGGTTGGATAAAATAAATCCAGGGCACGGCGCGGCGCGGGGATAAAAGGCGAGGCTTTTGGCAAACTTTTTATATTGCGGAGGCGCTTTATCTGAAAGCCTAGCGGCCCCTGATCCCGACCCACTAGGCAAACGCACGCACGCAACGGGAGTGCGAAACAATACATGCGCCGTTCTACTAAAGATTTATTCGTATAACCTCAAATCTATTTACCGTCATCATATAGACAGATATATAATTAACACAAATTGGTAGAAATTTTATCTGTAATGAACTATTTTATTTCTTAACAACAAAACCTTTGGAACTGATAAGGCAAATGATTTAAAGAAGATGAATAGGTACACCACAACATAAAAGGCTGCCACGATTAACTATTGTCATTTTTTTGAAATCTAACATTCTTAATTTGAAATTAGCCATAAATCCACTTCTTGTATGACAGGACAGGCGTATACCGTTTTGTAGGTCTGCTTGAAAAGATTTTTGCTAATACATTTACTGCTTTAAAAAAAAATATCCGGGAGTAAACATTTTTAAAGACGAAATTTGATTAAGTTCAAATGAATGTTTCAAACATACATTTACACTACAAACTGAACATGACTCTCACTGAGACCCTAGTGATCGACACTAAATGTTTTAAGGTAACTTGATCCACGAGTGTATCAAAGCAAGCACCGAAAGTGACCGCAACGGCACCTAACAAAGACCGAGTTTCAGAATCCTGACAAAACAGTGGCAAATAATGAAGCGCTTTCTATTTCTAAAATGACAAATATCTTTGAAATGAGAGAACAAAAGCTGCGGCGCGGGTGACAAATGGCAGGGCAAGGGAGGCTTCTGCGTTCAGGGGGTAAATGTAAACAATAAAACAAATGAGAAATAACTCTCACAGCCTAGGAAATGAGTAATACACAACTGCGCTGATAAATCTTACATTTTTAATATTCTTACGTTCGCTATCGTTAATGCAAAGAGAATAATACCATTTAAAAGAGCAGAAGACTATAAATATTAGGTACACAGTAATTGTAAGTAAACACAGTATTATTATTCTACTGCTTTTTGGCACACTCAAAGAAAGCACCTAAAATGTTTTCTTGTGTTAGGAAGAAAATCTTACACTGTGCCGGTGTAACGGCGCAACACTAGGCTTATTAAAATGTCAACGTTTATGTCCCCTCACTAATCATTCTGACACTGGACTTGGTAACGAAAACGCGCCATTCGCTCTAAACGATTTTAACTAATAATGTCTAAAACTTGACTATTCGTAACCCGCACATTTTTAAGGAACTATACATATACATTTAAGTATGCAACCGTCAGTTGTTCCCCAATTCCATTTTCTTATCAATTTTGTAAGAATTTCTGGTTCAGACCAATAATGAATAATTCATTTTCAACATTAACTAAATTTAACCAATCAATGAACGGCATGAATTGGCCGGATTTCACATTCCACGTGACTGTTTTACTTGACGCAAGCTGAAAGCTACGTTAATGCCCTCGAGGCCTCTTCGATCTGCCGTCAATAGTTCCCAGGCATCAGCCATTTCTCGCCGAAGGCTGTGTATTATTCAATTGTATTACTAAGTAATCTTAGTCCAATTGTAGCTATATACTAAATTGTCAATATACAATTTGGTATGGTATAAGTATTTTATTAAAAATAGCTGAAAAAATGATTGAAATCTATACAGATTTAGATTTTTTTAGTATTATAATATAAATGAACGGTTTTATGGTTGTGTTTGTCTTCGCAAGTGCCTCCAAATAGTTTTTATTGAACTGTTATCTCAAAACTACCAAATGAATAAACAAATTCTTTTAAATTAGAGCTCTGTACATAAGAGGTTATAGGGTATTTAACATTATGTTAAAGCCTTTAATTAAGTTCAAAGGATGAAACCGCAGGACTCGGCTAGTGTGTATAACCAATCAACATGATAACAACGACAAACAATTTTATATGAGGAGATAGATGAGAGGGTCCGTGCGTGCGGCCCCCGTCGCCGGATCAGCGCGACCGCGCCTGGCTTACGAATAAAATGCTCGCCGGATATAAAAGTTTACCAGGCCCGGATAAAGAGGTCCGCCCTTTTTATCTTACCTTCGTCGAAGATTTGTTATCTCACCTAAATAATCCTAAATCTTAACAATAATGTATACTATCAAGTATTAGATGTAAGTTTTTGGTAAAACAAAAAGTGTATATTCGATAGTTTGCCAAGTATTTAATTAGGTTTATTGTTATATTATTTACGTTAAGGATATTTATGTGTTAACAAAAAACTCAACTGCAATTAAAGCCTAAAATTAAAATGGATGAAATCTGTAACTAAACTAAACTTCTACTTATTAAAGTACAAAAAGGCTTTAGGTAACATTAAACCTTCGAAATTACTATGAAAACTAAATCCAATAAATCCGTAACTAATAACGAACATTGAAACTTTTGATGGCCACTAAATTTAATATTCTGACGATCGACTTCAAAAACCGTTTCAGATTAAGCCGAACATTTATACGTCCCGTCTTTACAACTTTATGACCTATAAAACCATATTCCCTCCCCATACATAGTCCCGCACAGAGATAAGTTAGCGGTCCAGTAAGGAGGAAGACATTATTTATTTTAACATTCCTATTAAATTTGAAGGCCATTCAATTTGATGCTTCGCTATAGATCAAATCGTACCGCAATATTCCTTTAAATAAATGTCATTACAAATCTCTTTCTTTCTCTTCTTCTTTTTCTTTTAATTAATAATAGACCCCATCGTTTTTTTGACGATTTCGCCAACAAGGTTAAAAATAAAGGAAAGTGTAAATTGAAATATTAAATAGCAAAAGACAATAAAAGTAGACGGAGTCCGATATTCTTTGACAAATGACCGCTAATCTTTATTTCTCATAATTCTCAAATTATGCATTTATAATCGAAGCAGATATACATTTTTATTCGTTACAAAATTTTCATAAATATAACATTTTATCTTACGATACTTGACATCTTTACATTGTTTTTCTTTTAATTTATTTTTATTTGCATCGTTACTGTGTGAATTCAATTTGCATAATTTCCTTATCGAGCTTCCCTACAAGATGTATTGTTTCATTTCCTACCAACCCTGTTCTGTAGCCAGTGATAAAACAAATTTTGTAAATTGATACAAAGTTATAATTGTTTCGTGTATATGAACGATTTATATATGTATATATTTTTTACATATTATATGATATAGTATGACAAAAAAATCGTAATTAATTAAACTTCCGTTTTATTGCTGCTGCTAAACTATTTCCGGAAACTAAAGTACAAAAATAAAACACCTTAACTAACAACTTAATCTCTCCATGTACCGATTTTTATTTGTACGTCATTGCAGTCATAGTAGCAAGAGAATTATTATTTTATTTGTCCACAAAACAATATCCAAGTCGAGTGATAAATTTCATAATTGATTACTTCCCAAAGTTTCCTTCATAACTTGTTGATGCGGGTTCAAATAAAATCTGATGTCATACGGACAATATGTCGATGAGGTAAGCTGACCCAATTTCTTGTTTGTGCCTTCGACGTTTTTTATTATTATAGACGTGAAAACTTTCTCACAAAAGTTGTAGGTCGTCGTAAAGTATTTATGTCGCTGGGCAATAACCACTCCCAAACAATACCGTTCAGTCGGAGGAACTCTGGCCTACATATTTCTTGTCAACATATTTTCGGACTTCAATCTCTGGTGTATTTCGTTAAACAGTTTTTCAGTTTAGTATTGTTCGATTTTTTTTTTATTGTTCAAATTTTATTATTACTTTTTCTTAAAATTATAAAAAAAATACAGAAGGACGTCGCTTTGTAACCTGCCAGTAATGTTGGTGATCTGGTTGATTTTTTTTTGTATGAATAAAAAATATAAATAAGTAAGATTAATAGTAGCATGATCTTGTAATCATTAACACGCGATATCTCGAGCGCCCCCGTGGTCATTTCGAATAAAAGCAGTCTAAGAAAACGAAAGGCCTTCTTAATTAGATGAGAAACAAACACGGCATTAGGGTCGCCGCCCGGGGACTTGTTCCGACCCGTTTCTCTGTTATTACATCGCGCAACTTAATATTACGTCGCTTTCATTTCAACGGTGGCCGGACTCGCACATTTCGACTTCTTTGTGCACTGCTACTAAATAATTAATTAGAATACCATGTTAATAAAAATACTCTAGTCAAAAGACCAACAAGTCATGATGTCAAATATAATAAAAGACAAAAGTAAAATAAACCACGTAACATTTCATCGTGTAATGTTTAAAATGATATATATTAAACAACTGATATATATGAGACAGTGTAGCCGTAAGATTTAATTTATGAAATATTATATTGTTACCTCTATTAGTCCAAAGAGAATGAATGGGATAACAATACATTTTATTATGTGTTCCAAAGGGAGGATCCCACAAATATATTTACTATGCAAGTGTACGATCTAAAAAGAGCAGGATTGTATATAAGTAAATGTCATAATAAAATCTCATATACATACGCACAACATAAACTAAAAACTAATTTCTTTGATCCATCAGGTGTGCAACAAGGTGTTTGGTAACGCATCAGCCCTGGCCAAGCACAAACTAACGCATAGCGATGAGCGGAAGTACGTCTGCATTACATGTGCGAAGGCTTTCAAACGGCAAGATCATCTGTAAGTAAAATTAAAAACATTTAGAACATAAGTATACATATCATCAACCTAGCCTTGTCTTTACAAAAGACCAGCAAAGTATACAATAGTCTTCCATGCATCACTATCAGCCGTCATATCTAAGTTCACTTCCTTACACATATCCCCTTTCACACAATTTTTACTTTCTTCGGTCTTCTTCCACCTTTTTGTAGCCAGTCGTTAACATAAAAAGTAAAGTCAAATTTATATTAATCCGGTGGCGGCACCGACTAGTTTTGAGCCCATCGGGGGGCCCTTCATCAGGATGAGTGGTACTGGTATTATTTCGCGGACGCGGCCCGTCGCTCACTGCGCGCCTGCGCTTTTAGGGGCGTCGTCGACGACGTTGATAAGTGTGAAAATTTGCATTTTAGAAAAATACTTTTATGAGGTAAAATAAAAAAAATGCCATAAGAGTTTAAATCTTGCTGTTGTCTAATTGGCATCTATTGATTTTTTTTTTCCATTTATGACATGGACCAAGCTCATATTTTCAAAACCATGTTCTATGCGGTGCTATGAGACGCTTAGTAAAGACTTCTGAATTCTCGACGATAAAAAAGATGATTATGCGACAAGGTTACATTTATCATTGTAGTTATAAAAACAGTTGTCAGAGGTCCCAAACTTAACAGCTACAAAAACCTTAGCAGACGAAAAACAACAGAGAATACAGCTGCCGGCAGACTATGCGGCGCGGAGATACTGTTTTTGTTGACTACGAAACTATTGTTATACTGAAATTCGAGACTATATAATATATAACCTATATAATGGTTATATAAAATATGACATCATAAGAAATTAAATTAATTTATGATTTACTTCAATTCAACATAAAATAATTATGTGATAACATTAAAATAATATTTAAAAGGTGAATTTTAATCTTAAAAATTTGTAATATAGTATATAGTATAGTCGATAATTAAATTATCCTTTCACCTAATGAGAAAATATTAGGTGTATAAGTTTACTATAAATGCTTTCATTAGAATAACAACAAAGGTGTTCAGTTTACACGTAGTTATATTTGGTTTGAACACATGTAGCGCGCGGCGCTGGCTTGCCCTTTAATCCTGCGGCAAGCCCGCGCATGAATATTAATGCAACCATTGTGTTCATAATGCTCAGGCGTTAACTGAACGCGGTACAATTCTGTTGATCCCGTGACCCGCTTTGGGCGGCACTTCGTATTCTATAATCACAGATTATATTTCGGTCCAAGGTAAAGATATAGATAAGGTGTTTCTTTGACTATTCAATCATTTTTTTAACACTACACAGACTTGTTAAGTAGTCACTTAGGAGGTCGCTTAGTATAGATTTGTATGAAAGTCTACATAACGGAACTATCTCACCATTTAATGACTAAGTTTGATCGTTAAACTCTTACGTACATATGTCTTAAAAGTAAGCAAATTATACTGACACATATCACTGGCTGAAAAAGTTTTTAATTACCTATGGATTTTTTTTCGAAAGTTTTGGTGTTCAAATTGATGATGTGATTTAATAGGTAAAATGGTTAAGATAGGTTTGATAAAATATATATTTTCCATTGAATTCGACTATACGTCTTTTGTTTCGTTTGGGAAGACGAATGAATTATACGAGAAGTATACGTTACAAAAATCTACACCATATACTCTTAATATCTGTGTGTACATATTTCTTGATATATTGTTGTGTTGTCAGTAACGGTCACATGCTGACTCACCGCAACAAGAAGCCTTACGAGTGTAAAGCGGAGGGATGTGGCAAGTCGTACTGCGACGCACGCTCCTTGCGCCGGCACACAGAGAACCATCACCAACCACCCACTGATGCAGGTGAGTAAATAACATAGATGTAAGAATGTACAGAAGCGATCCAAAATACTAACACGTTACAAGCCTATACACAGAAGTCATAACAATAGCTGCTGTTAGTTTCTGATTAACAACCTGATTAATAACCTGTTCATCAAATTATTGTAATTATTATCAAAACTAAAAGAACTCCTCCGGCTCCTGTATCCGAATCCCCATGGTAACAAACTGTTGTTTCCATACCATACTCATATGAAATAAATAATAAAAACTCATGCGAATTTGTCATGACACCTGCATACCCTCGTAAATTAGGTTGCGCCGCTCTCTAAGCTCTGTTGAGAAGTGAGGCATCACAGTTGACACCGTTAACTAGCTGTCGTAATTATGGCGGAGCACTTAGCGCTTTAATTCCACGCACACTACACTTCTGATATACGAGATATTTATAACAAAATACAAATAAGCTTTTATAAAATGTACTCTGTAATTGAAAATCGGCGGAATCGTAAAGCATAATAAGCAAATATTAAGTAACACATGTAATAAATATTTTAATATAATAAAAAAAATTGTTTGTCAGACTTACTAATCGCACATATCAGTCGAATTTAAATAATTATTTTCGCATCATCGAACTATTAAATTAATAAAACTGCGGATCACAATTAATAAATCATATTTTATTTTTGTAAATGTAAAACCCAAAAATAATACTACTCATATTTCAGGTACAAGTAACAACAGTAATGGGGCTACGGGTAACGGAGAGCGCGACACGAATTCGCTTCGAGTCGCTTCGCCTCCATCCCCATCGCGGAGTAATCCGCTACATTCTGATGTAAGTCGATATGAAACCATTAACCACAGGCATCATACATACAGAATTTCAATTAGCATAATACTGACAGAGTAGAAATTTATTATATTTAGACGAGAAAAAGCTTCTTAAACTTTCAAATATTTGTGTACACCTTTATAAGAAAAGTTAAGTAACTATTTATTACTTATTATTAAGTGGGCGCATAATCCTCTTGTGGATATAAAAGGCGAACTCCGTAAAGTTCCCATCATGAAATTTCCAAATAAATTCCTATTCGCTGTCACGAGTCGGAGTTTTTAACTGGCATTTTTATTACAAGTGCTCTTGGCTCGCTTCCAACTGACCGTGTGTAAAATTCACAACCCGGCGACCTTATTAATTAAGCAATTAGCCCGAATCCGCGCGCGCTTTTCATTCTGTGACGCCATTAAGGTTCGGACGTACAAAAAAGTTGGATATAATGATGGTCGTGTTTTACCCCGATTCGTTTCGCAAACAATGTTCCGACATCGAGCGGTGATGTTACGAGCGACTTTTAATGAGGGACATGTCGATTTTTAAATGTAAACAACTTGCATTTGATCGTGTTCATTATAAATATATTTAAACAGGCAACTTAAGCTTTCATAAATTTCTTTATGAGTGACTGGTATTGTACTGATTATTCTTTCTTTAAAATGGTCCTTTACTTTAATATATGTAAATTAAATAAAAATCATTAAGCCAACAAAACTGCGCTCGTCCCGAACGTAATTAGAGCGAACTTAAAAAAAGTCTCCCAAAGAAAGATTTTCTTAAACATTTATCTGGTGGATAAACTTGGGTAATTAAAAGCGAAACTCTGAAACATAAAACACTCAAGTGGCTCGCGCCATTTTGTCCGCACAGTTAAGCAACGGCTCGGAGAAGAGTGGTACAAGCACGAGCGGGAGCGGCAGCGGGAGCGGAAGCGGAGGCGGCAGCGACAGCAGCCCGCCCTGCACGCCGCCCGCACCAACCACGCCACCATCAAAATACGCCAAGAAAACCAACGGCACCAAACCTAAGAGTTGTACCAATGTAAGTACTGTTATATATAATGAGCTCTAATAAAAAAGCAAATAATCAACAATTTTTTTATATTTTCGTTGAAGAATTTTTAATTAAAAATAACAACGGCTACACTTTTACTAAAATATTTTAAAGCTCTAAAGAATTAAATCGTTGCATTAGTTTGCTATTTACAGCTGGTAATTCCAAACGTATAATGGACCAAGAATAACGATTGAATATTATTTTACAATAATTTAATAATATAAAAAAAAACTTAACTAGTTTGGATAAACAATACAGAGCGTTAAGTTAATCCTAAAAGCTCGATTCTTATCGCTGTTCTTCTTTTAAGGTAATATTTTTAATGTTACATGTATGAAATAGTGTTCTCGTGGGATCAATTTTAAAATGCTACGAAACTGCTACACTAACTTGATTCCGTAGCGAGCGTAGGCGGCACTTGCGTAACACTACGAATCTGTGCTACGTGTAAGCGAAGATCTACGAAAATTTTATCATAACTATTTAAATTGTTTTTTTTTCTATTAATGTATTACATTTTTTCTTTGTTTTGTACATTGGCAAATAGTGTTACTTTCTTGTTACTGTCTACCCAAAATTTAAAGGATTACATTTCGGTCGTTTCAATATTTATTTTCTCGTCGGCCCTACAAAATCTACGATACAAAAAGTTTCCAGCTGACTGCGTCGTTACACCCAACATCTAATAAAGCAGCCTCGCGTTGAAGCTCATAAAATTGTGGTAAAAGGAGTAACAAAAATCAAGAGCTCACAAATCACGCACATGGCAGATGGAGGAATATTTTTTGTACAAACTTCGACTTCGTTTGACTTTACGAATCTCATTAAATACTCGTAAATGGTAGTTAGGAAAAAAATGTTTTTGTAAAAATCACTGATTATCAATTCTCTTATTTCACTAACAAGTCTAAACTTATCAGTATTCATTTACGTACTATGAATATAAAAAATTCACCCTTAAAAATTCAAACATCGAACAAAATCTTCTTATTGAAATCGTGTGACTACATCCGTTGAAATGTCTCAAAAGGATCCTCTAAGAATAGTTTTATTACTATCTGATATAATGCAATAAGATCTAATAATTCTTAGCGCTCGCTCATTCGAAAGCTCGCCGTGGGAATTAGGGTAGATGCGAATTCTTATGCTAATACATCGCGGATTCCAGTGCGAAACGTTCGCCGAACTGAACCTATTCAACTATTGTTACATTTTAATAATTCAAACACGACAACGGTGCAACCCTGAGCGTGTTTATTACAAAACTAGCAGTATCAAACTTAATAGATATTTAGAAAATTCTTCTTAACCTTATAGAAGACTTATTAGACTTATTAGAAGACTATTTAAGAGCTTCGAGAAGTTTATTATTAGTTTAAACCTAAAATGTATGGTAATTATAGTGTATTTGTGTGGTAGATTTTATAATGGACAATGACGATCCGACTAAAGAAATCAAAAAGTATATAGAAATTAAATTCAATAATAACCTTTACAAATAATTTATTAATCAAATGATACTTTACTTGAAATGAGAAGAAAAAATAATTTTAAAATAGATTAACGACTGCACGTATTTTTCTGTTCGGCGAAGGGTTGGAGTTGCGAAACTCGATCGCGAGATATTCGGCCCCTCGCAGCATCTCCACCTGTCGGCGTAGATACACAAAAATTGAAGGGACTCTATTAAATTTGCGCGAATCAAACTAGAATTATTCACACAGGTCGAGAATTCTCATTTTAGATCGAGGGGTGGCTATTTGTAATTCATTAATTATGTGAGAATTTATCCATGTTCGGTGACCCGATCTATTATTTAGAAATCTTAAATTATTTAAAGAATTCTGAATCGAAACTATAAACTTTGAACAAGTCAGTAAACAAAGGCTTGTATTCGGTAAAAAAAAAAACACATTGACGTGTAAATTCAACATTTGTAAAAAGCAAATTGAGGCGCATTGCAATTAAATCTGTCAATACAAAGGTGGCATTTTCAGCCGCATGAATGAATCGGAAATGCAATATTAATAATAATATCACAGACAGACTATTGATGGAGCGTCCAATTTAACGCGATCCCTCGCGCTTCAATTGAAGCAAAAGGTGTTCGTTGGATTTGTTGATGTTCCATAGACGTCAAGAGCTCTGCTTAACGTGGACAGGTGGGTGGCGTGGCTCGCTTTATTAAAAGCACTCACTTTGATCGGGTCCCGTGATTTGACGTCACCTGCAGGAAGCAATAAAGGCCGACACAAACACGGGGCACATAATTACAAACGGGCGCGGCGCAGTTTTGTTCACAACATATTGACATCGGAATGCCTTTGAACGCAATAAATCCGCTTTTGTGCCACTTCATTACGGCCTCGGGATACGGCATATTTGCGTACATAATTACGACATAATTACATTCGCATGTTTTAGATTTTACATTTTCGTACTACTCATATCTGTTTTAGAGTTCAAATTCGATGTAGTAGATGTAATTAAGCATCGTTGAAAAGCGGATCAAATTTGAATAATATGAACTATGAAAGGACAGAAATATATGTAGTAGCAAACATTCACGTGTTAAACAATAACTTTTCATGAGCATATAATACCTCAGATTTTCTATACCATGCACAGCCATTGGAAGATTTAAAAGAAAGCTTTAGAACTTTAAAATGGAAAGTTTAATAGCAAATAAAACGTTTTAAACATAATGTAGTAAGTTAATTCATTCTTCTTCGAATAACATTGTCTAGTTATATTACTGTAGGGTTTACAATTTATAACGACACACAAATTGCTTACGATATCATACTATATGTACTATATCCATACTGACCAAGCAAGTGCGTCCCGGAGCCTAATTAAGTCCTCTTTCCCTTCCCACTCTTTTTCTTATAAGGAAAGGATGGGAAGTGAAAGTGGACTTTCCGGATGAGAGGATGCATGGAAAGGGAAAATATTTTCTTTGTGTGCATCCTCTCCTCCGTCGATTAAAGGTAGACAACGCATATGTAATTGCGTATGTCTATGGGCAACGGTCACTACGCTATTTCAGCGATTTGAGGTGGCCGCTCGCTCGTTTGCCAGCTTATGATAAAAAAAAAGTCACGTCGTAAGACTTTATATCCTGTAATTATGAATGTGACAAAAGCTATGAGAAACATGTTCCAAATATCTCTACATCTGTCGTTTAAATAATACTTTTAGTAAATAGAGGTTTATGTCTTAAAAAAAAATACATTTTATTCTAGTATGTCACTTCTTTTACTGTTGAATATTAAAAATAATATTGCCGTCTAAATGTAGAATTAATTTACTTCGCCATCAAATAAATTTGTACAAAAACTCATATAACATGAATCCATTTTATTAAACTAAGTGGGTATCCAATTTCTGACAAATGTGTGTTATATACCCCTAACAGGGGATGTACGGGGTGTGTGGGGAGCGTGGGGGGTGCAGATGTACGGGGTTACGAATGTGAGGAGGAAACGAACACAATGTGTGTTTACGCAGACTTATCAAACATATTCATTGGGTGACGTTATTTCGTAAATGTTTCTACTACATCTGTGACATCTTTTTACTGAAAATATTCTCATAGAATTTTTTATTTATGTTGAAGACCAACCAGTTGCTTTGTATTTCATATAGTATGGAGTGAGGTATATTATTGTAAACGAATCATGTTTGGTACAAGATTCATAATTTATACATATTAATAACATTGCAGTGATGTATGTAATATACGAAAAAAAACATATTTCATAAAATTGAAACATTACAAAAATGTCTGTCTATCTGTCCGCAACACTGCGTTTGTTTCCGGTATTCTCCGAAACCTCTAGACTGATTTTAACGGAACTTTGACTGGAAGATAGCTGTGTAAATAGTAATTTCATTATAATTATTATGAAATTAATAGTTTTGTAATAAATATAAAGCCTTCTAAACGTAGGATAGAAAACTTCGATCAAGATATTCATCATCAGCTCACTATACATCCCCACTGAGGGGCTCGGAGCCTACCCTAAGTTAGGGGTGACTAGGCCATAGTCAACCACACTGGCCCAGTGCGGGTTAGTTGACTTCACACGTATCTTTGAATTTCTTCTCAGATATGTGCAGGTTGCATCACGGTGTTTTCCTTTACCGTAAGAATGTTGGATAAAGGTACATATGTAAATCGGAAATCGAAAAACATATTGGTACATGGCGGAATTCGAACCCAGGACCTACAGATTGCAAGTCAATTGCTTGACTCCTCAGCCACCGACGCGACGAGATATAGGTTCAAATAATTAATATAAAACGAATTATAATAAAGGTTCGTTTAGACTACGACTTGTTTTCCGACATTAATGTCAGCGCTGTTTACACTGATACGGAATTTTACACAGCGGTGCCCATACAATGTCATTCAGTATATAGCCTGAGTGTACTAGTATTGTAGTGTAAACGTACCTTTGTGTCTTTAGCACTGTTAGAAATAACATACGTAAACTTAAACGTCAGAATATCGAGAAAAATTCTGATCCACGAGATACCCTCATACAAACTCTTAACTCAATTCCATCAAACTGTCAGTGAAGCGGTGAATATTACATAGACGTCTCCGAATTTCTCCGCAACGTCGCAACGAGGAAATAAGTCAAACTCTCCGTCTTCATCTCCGAGGCGGAAAAAATAAAATCACAGCCGCATATTGTAGTCGTTGTAACGGCCTCTTAATATTTTATTTATTGAATATTAAATTGACAGAATACGAAATGGAAGAAATAAAAGTATAACCAAAATCTAGGATTAAGCAGACTACTTAAACTTAAAAGTATATTTATTCTTTAAACATATTTATTACCTTCAAACTGGCCGCGTAATTTCTAAGAGTTTCCTTTCTTTCGATGAAGTAATTTCCATTCCACTCCCTCTGTAAGATTCATTAAAGCGAGTATGTATGTGAGATTACTTGAAAAAATTAGGGCATATCCACACATGCAGGAAATTGATTGTACATCGTAAGACGCCCTTGGTCTCGCACTTCCATTAATAATGTAGTGTGACAAGGACGCAGGTGCGTTCAGTCTCGGCGATAAGCGTCCCGATGCATAATTGAAGGAACATATAGGGATGCCACCTCTTCGAGTTTGAACACAATTCTTTGAATTTGGATCGTGAACATTCGCGATACGGATTTGACGAAGTTACCTTATTCTTTCTTAGAATGTGCCTTGTTTTTTTCTCCGTTACGGAGTAAAGAATTGGCAAGTACCGATCTATGTTTATAAACAGTTGGCAACCCTAGATGCGTGGTACTCCCCTAAATCTTCAGCATCATCTTCCCGTAGGTTAACTGTGATGGATTAGTGAACGTGGCGTACATGTCTTGCGATTCCTCCTCACGCTGCCTTTGTAAAGAAATCCTTGTTTTATTTTACAAGTTACATTCTGTTAGCTAGAAATTTTCTGATAAATAATAATATAAAAACACATTATGGTTAAATTTTAAGAAGTGTCTATTTTGTGTATAGATTTCAAATCATTTAAATAATAGCAATGTTCAAAACATCCAACCCTTTTACTTAAGTCTTTTAAAAACATCACTTCTTACAAACAATTATAGCAATATTAAAATATTTTACGTAACTCGGTGACCTCTGACCTCGCGGGTCAAGTCACGTGTCCCCTACTTTACTTACGACAAATGCACGAATAAAATTATGGACGCCACACTTCGAAATATCACCGTGAGAAATGGGGTTCACAAATTGCTTAGAACTAATTTCAATAATAAGTCAAGCCCTTTTTAACTATCAGTTGCAATTAGATTACCTCTAGCTAATTACAATAGGAAATTATTTTGATGAGGACAAGCAAAAGAAAATTGTTATGCTCATATCGTACTAACAAGAAAAATGGAAGTAAGATATCCAGATGTAACGTACCATATCTTAAATTAAATGTACACCATTGTTCAAATGTTTGTAGTATATTATCAAATTAGATCTTGTACAATTAAAGTTTGATGAAAACTTGCTTTATAACAGTTCTTATATGATGCAATTAAATAAATTTACATTTTTAGGATACTTTCACAACCATGTTTATTTTTAATATTCAATTTGAACATTAATATTGACTTTAAATAAATAATGATATTAAATAAATGCTAAAACGGGACAAAATATAATCACCGAAATTGATATTTAATTAAAATATAATATATTTATTAGCAAATACGTTATTACGTATTACTTAGGCCGGCAACGCATATGCGGTTCCTCTGGTATTGCTGATGTCCATGGGCGTCGTTGAACACCTCGGTGCTCCCGCTCCTCGTTTGCCTTCTGTAATAAAAAAAAACTTCATATGGAAAATTTATCTAATTAATAGTTGCTATCACAGTTATTGTTGAGTTCTCAGATTACTTCTTGTTTCCATAGTTACAGTACTTATATGTTAGAAAAAGACATGGGCCATGTTTAACGTACTTAAATGTCGTTTACCGAACGACATTTAATACAAGGCAAAATAGTTTTCATTAGTGTTAAACTTCTAGTAAACGATACAAATGTTGTCGTTTTGTTTACTTACCTCATCTTATACATAAAATTATCGTGTCACAATTTTCGTTCCCATACTCCTCCGAAACGGCCATTTCATGAGAATCGGTCATTCTCATGAAATTTTGTGAGCATATTGAGTAGGTCTGAGAATCGGCCAACATCTATTTTTAATCCCGCGCGGACGGAGTCGCGGGCGACAGCTAGTACTAATATAATTGCAAATGTTTAGATAGATGGATGTTTGTTAGAAGCTGCAGAATGGCTGAATTTATCTCGATAAAATTTGGCATAGATGTGGAATAGTCTGGAAGAGCATAAAGGTTACTTAATAAGTTTTTTTTAATCTTGCACGAACGGAGTTGCGGGAAAAATCTAATTGATAATAATATAAGTTAGAATTATTTTCTACAATGTTGGCATCATTGGAATACGAATGATAATAAGGAGAAATATGCAAATTAGCCAGTGTAGAACGCCTTTGTTATTAGACTGGTCAGTATTCGTAATTCGCGTGGTCAATATATCAACGAGGGGTCATCTCTTCGATATCTTTCCCCATCTATTGTGCTATCATTTCATGTTCGAATACCGTGGAAAGAACATCACAGACGCTGGACCAATATCTTGTGTCGTTATTACTGTTTGTTTTCTAACCTTTGAAATTATTAGTGAAATTTAATTGATAATGGACAATTGGATAACTCAACTATTTCAACCACAGACTTTTGCAAAACCAAAGGTGAGCTTGTAATTGTTTTTATCGTTATGTTTTTATTTATTATTTGTGTAAAATGTGTAATTTTAGATAGCGTTAGCAATTTTTTTATGTATTAGATTAATCTTAATTCAATCGGATTTCTTAAAGTTTTAAAAAGTGGTTGCAAATAAAACTTAGAAAAGAAATGATTAGATTGGGCATGGCGATAAATAAGAGATCTTTTTAATTTTTAATTTTATACACGTACTTACTGCAGTAACTTTTATGATGATCCTTTTTAGTTATTCTTTCGTTATTGGCTGTAAGTCATCAGAATCTTTAATACAGATACAAAAGCTTTTTAAACTAATCAAAATTTAATTTAATTGTTACATTGGCATAGTGTGGATATAAAAAGTAAAGTAATTAATTTAAAATGACTAATTCTAAGATCATTAAGCGGCCATAGCAAACTACTTCAGTACTCTTATATAATACAACTGTAGCGTGTAAATAATTCGTACTAAAAACCGCTGCAAGTCGAGTTAACTACACTACAAGAATGATATATGACAAAAACGCTACGCTCGCGAACATCTGTTCGCACCTACCGCATTAACCTAACGAGCTGGCCTAATGGCGCTAGCTAGGGCTGCTACGAAAAAAACTCGAATCAAATAAATTACGGACGCGCTACGCCGTAGCACTCACGAGATTTACTCACCAATGCAGATTTAGGTCACAATGAAACGAAAATCCTATTATTTAATCCTATTTATAAAGGTACAAGTGGAAAATTTAAACAAGCGAAAACGACAAATGTTTTTTACGTAGACTTGCAAATAAAGCCTTTTTAAGCTCTCAAGTAAATAATCAAAGAATTTTATTACACAATATATAATTCTCAACTACTTGATAATGATAACTAGAATTATTTAAGTACTAGCTGTTGCCCGCGACACTGTCTGCGCGAAATTAAAAAAAAACATGATTAGTAGCCATGTGTTCTTCCAGACTATGTTCTACATCTATACCAAACCTCGCCGGTTTTTTTGTTTTGTCGTTTCGGATATACCTTCAAAGAAACATCCATCTAAACATTCTTATTTATAATATTAGTAATATAAAACTTTATTAATCGCTCGTTTCTTTTCTAGCCTCATTATGTTCTGTTTTCATCTCTCTAATAAGCTATTTCAAATGCATATTTTAACTGCACTTTTTATTAAAAATAAAACTGCTTAAACTTTAAAATGGTACAAAAAGTTTTTAATATACAACGGACATACGAAAATGAAATAAATTTTGTCTCTTAATGTCGGGAAGTCGTGTAGCGCCGCTGCGGGAAATCCGCTACTAATTAAAATTCTACTAAAATGAATAAATGCATTGCACGGGCACTGTCTTTGTGAAAAAATAACAAATCGACGTTAGTTTTTATGTTTCATTCGTTTGAAATAACTTTTTTTATAAAAGGAACAGGCAAAGTAGCAAAATGTTATAATCTAATTTTGATGTGACCAGCTTGTTTGTTTCCCTTAATTCCTTTCAGGTCTCATATCCTCTCTAATTATTCATCCATCCATTTGGTATGATTACTCATTACTTTATTGCTAAAAACCGGGAAAATATTAAATATGTCCATTTTAGTACGAGTATGTTAACATTATGAATACGTCATATCCAAAAACGTTGTTAACTATTGACCTTTAATTAGTAATTTCCTTTTACACCAACCTACTCGTAGATTAAGAGGAATCCATTAAAATCCATTAATTAACTTGGAATATTAAAGAGCTACCGAAGATCGAAAGTTTATACCTTGAAATTACAAAGTACGTAATAGGTTTTAGAAGTCTTTTGAAGTTTTGTAAAGTCATCGTTAATTTCACAGACGCAGCAGGGAAGCCAAAAATGCGGGAGCGTCGCAACTACGAGCGGGAACACAAGTGGAGCGGGTAGCGGACCGAGCACGATACCCCGCCCCAGTGATACCAAGCCAGTCGAATGTAACCTCTGTCATCGTAAATTTAAAAACATACCCGCTCTAAACGGTCACATGCGGTTACACGGCGGATATTTTAAAAAAGTAAGTTTTTCACTTGTTTGAATTATTGAGAAATTCTTTGGTGACCATTCAAATTCTATTCTTATTTAGGACTCTGATAATAAGAAAATGGACAAAAAAGAATCCTCTGGACCACCGCTACAAACGGCATCAGTGTCAGTACGAGCGCTTATAGAAGAAAAGATTATCAGCCGTCGAGGAGCCAACGCTCAGCTAACATCTTCTGGTAATGAAGCTATAAATATACTAGGATCAACTACCTAGGATCAAGCAAGCTGCGGGTAACGTTATCTTGTGATTTTTCTAATGACAGGTACGAGTACAGACGCAGTATCCTCACGAGCTGGCTTTGTAGCTCCAGCTCCTCCACCTTTGTCCACAATCCGATCATCAGTGGCTTCAACCGCATCTTCTATAGTGACAACGCAGTTTGTGTCGCCACGTGCACCTTCCGTCGTAACTTTAGCTACGAATATCACATCTAATAATCCGGCCATTAGGGATTCCACACTAATTGAACTTCTGAAAAAAGGCAGTACGAAGGTTGGTAGAAAATATACTTCTTATTAAAATGTACTGCTTAAGACATGTTAAATTGCATAGTCACAAGTATACAAATAATTTTACTTCCAGGTTGTTAAAAGATCAACTTCTGATCCTGGACAATCTTCACCACATCAAGAATACGCCTTTCGGCCGGAATTATTAGGTGTTTCATTTAATTCCGATGATGGCTATTATTCACCAGCATTGAACGGCGAAGACACTTTTCAATTTACCACAACACCTGAACAGTTGGAGGAATTTGCGTCATTGGAAGACTACGCTACTGTAGCTGCCTCCATACGAGAACGATCACCCGTAACTTTCCCGTCCAGCCGTCGACTTGCTGCCGTACTAAACTCACCACTACCGGAATCTTTGGCGGACTTTGGCGCGAGTCACGGTGGCTCGCCTGCGCCTTCGCCCGGTATCGGTTATGCGGACAGTTCACCATGCCTTTCATATTCAACAAATGATTCCCCAGGAACTGCTTATAATGTAACATCACCAAGTGGAAGTTATTCAAACCAAACTCAACCATCGCCGGGTCTTGCGTATCCAACTCCTCCAGCATCCCACGATGCTTATTCACCTGCACATACTATTCCACGAGCTTCATCACCTTTATCAGCAGCTTTCTTTACAGCGACGATGTCCAGTCAAGAAGAGGTAAAAAATATTACAATTATTATTTTCGTCTGACTTGGAAATGCGCAAAATATTGAACAAAACATCTTTCCAGGTGGAAGAAGCTTTAGAAGTGGTATTACCAGAAGAATGCAGATCATTAGACGCTTATTCTTTAGAACCAACACCTACGCCGCGTCGTATCATGCTAAACTCGGAAGATCCTCTTCTATCGAGTAGTCCACGTGACTTTTCTCATCAGCGGCACTTTCGTCGTCAACGACTAACTTCCTTGTCTATGCCTATTCATCACTGGCAAAACGACTCTTCGTTACAGGTAAATAATTTGATAAATTATGTGCTATTAACGTGTACTATGGCTACCCGACGTTAAATATTTAAAAAATGCTGTATAAAATATATTTTCGTCGTATACGACGACATTTAAACAAACGTTGAAACCAAATAAAAGATCTAAATTATTTTCCAACTTTTCCAGGTTTGCGTAGAAGGTCGGGATCTAGTTCAGGCAGTATTTTTGAGTCCCAACAGCGTGCCTGCGTCACCTCAGCAACGCAAGCGACGCGGCTCGCCGGCCGGGCCATACAGATCTCGCATGCGGCGTTCCAGCAGTCATTACACACCGCAACCTATTCTGCCACCAGATAGAGTTGGTTCGGGTCTTCTTATCGACCTGGCTAATGGTATGTTATAATCGACAATTTAAATTTAAACGATTCCAATGACGTTACGATGGCCTTAAAAACAAAGCAAATGTCTAAAATTGGAACACCCCATTTAGGTGGCAAAGTTTGAAGATGAATAATCATGATTGTCTATGATTGTTGATAGAAACATAATATTTCAGGGTCATCAACGTCCGAGATTAATGAAATGACACATATAGAAGAGCCTCCTGTACCGAAAATCAATATTGGAGTTGACCATCAAGCGAACATACCAGAGCTTTGCAACGACCGTATAGACCTACACAGAGCACCTGAACAGTTGCTTTGGGATCCAGGCATTAACGATGCACTTGATGATAATGAAGGTAACTTTTGTAACTTAATTTTAGAAGTAAATTATTATGAAAGTTGCTACGAAGATTGTTTATTCTACTATTACGTATACTCTTTACATGTCCTTCCTTTACTTAATCTGATGCTCATCTATCAAAAAAGTTTGTTCATTCAATAACTTTACTTTTTATATTTTAGTTCGCATGTTCATGGAGTTAGCGATGTGCGCGGCGATGCCAGTCGGTGGACACACCCGGGAATATGCTCTTCAGACTCTAGGAGAATGCGGGGGCGATATCAGGGCTGCCACATTACGCCTAATGACACGCCCCGCGGCGCCCTCGCAACACGAATGCCGGTGGACACCTGACGAAGTTGAAGCTTTCCTCGCCGGCCTTGGACACTACGATAAGGACTTTTATAGAATTTCACAACTAGTAAGTATAAATTTCTCTTTTAAACATAAGTCGAATAAAAAATTTACTATCAGAAAAAGTCAAATATGATTTTAAGATGTGACTTTCGCCCTTATTAATATCGATTCGTAAATTAGCATAAATATAAAACGTAATAGAATTTACGTATCATTAGTTCTATGAAAATTTAATAATAACAATTGTTTCCGTAGATTAAAACGAAAGACTCGAAACAATGCGTCCAGTTCTACTATTTCTGGAAGAAAGTAACAAAAGACTACAAAACTCATTTCCTACGAGGCTGGATAAACGAAGTGCTGCCCGCGTCACAAGTAAGCACCGCCTACACTGAACTATCTCACTACGTCTTCATCAGTGAAGACTGAGCCACAAAGTTCTAACACGCACGACTTCTTCATGTTTAGGGTTCAGTAGGGCAGATAACGTTACAACGGTCCGCATCCTGTTCTTCACCAACATCGTATGACGGAGAAGAATATCCTTGCAAAATATGCGGGAAGTAAGTGCCAACCGCACGGAAAAAACATGCCATTAGCTTACAAATATAGCCAAACTGCAAATGTATAATATCCGTCTAACTTAACTTATCACAAGTCCGACAGAAATTGCGAGTTCTAAATATGAAATTGTTTTTCTTGCAATAGTGATATTATAAAGTGTATAATTTGTATTGCTGATTCAGGAATTGTTGTATTTTACAAAATTTTAAGGTTAACTTATACGACTTTATGACATTTCTTGAATCAAATTTTAGGCGACATTGTTTTAATGTGGAATGCATGTTACTTTGTCATGATTATTATCATAAACCTTAAATCCGTCAAAATATCATCGAGTATTTAGAGAAATAAAAAATAATTATCTAAAAGCAGATTTAAAATTGAAATCTTTTTAACTAACATTTGTAATAATGTATTTAAATTATATAAAAGATCATTATTTATTTGTGGATATTTTTTTTATAATAATTATGTGTAAATAAGTGTCATTACAAATATAACCTATAGGTTCTCAACGCCGATGCTTTTTCGCTTTGCTTGAGCAGTGTTCTTTTTGTTTTGTTTTTCGTTTTGCTTTTCATTTGTTTCTTTTAGTTGCTGTTATAATAGTTGTAAACTGTTATGTTTCAGAGTATTTAACAAAGTAAAAAGTCGTAGCGCGCACATGAAGTCGCACCGCCCATTCGATGCTGAGCCGAAAAGGCCAAAACTCGAAAAGCCTTATGAAAAGGTCGAGAGACCCGACAACAGGGCTCAAGCGGGTGCTGAATACCAAAGCAAACAGCTGTAACAGATTCATTTCTTCCTGTTCTGTACCCTCGCACCAACTACGAATACAAAAAGAACAACAAACAAACTAATTATTGGGTTTCGAGTCATCAAATGTTAATACATGACCTAAAAACTCGATATTTGTCACTTGTCATGATATATTCATTGAGGATTAAAAGGCAAAGATTCCTTTATCCGTGCAGTCTGTCCCTACCTAAACTGCTGACTTATTTAGACGAAATAAAACAAACGAAATTTGAAAATAAATGCCGAATGCATTTGTTTTGTTCACTAGTAAATAATTTTGTAAATAAATAATTCGTGGTTTAAAACGAGAATTAGTGGATCTATTAAGAATCCCCAACTAACAGTTCTCGATTGAAAACATCTATCGTTATCTCATAGTTGCTAAGCTTGAAGAGCACATAAAATATTTTGTATAACGAATGGTAAATATGTAGATAGTTAGGTTAGGATATCTTCATAAAGTTTTTATATGACAGACTTCTTAATGTGACTTGGCAAGTGTGATGTTGTAAATAAGTATCGGCTGCGTAAAGCGGGCGAGTTCTATTCGAAATAATATATTGTTCTAAATATTATGTATTGCAACTATATAACTGAGTGTGATACTTTACCGTGTAGCAACTACACTACCTCGTTTCTATTGAACTATTGAGTTTATTACGAGCCCAGCTCACTGTTTGCGTTTGCTTGTTTGCTCACTGTCTTGTTATTATTTTTTTGTAGTTATTTTTAATTATATCTTATCTAGTCTTATTGGACAAAGATGCATAAAATTGTTCTGTTAATTAGTCAATAACGCAACGGATATTAAAACGAGCATCCGTACATCCACTAGTCACATATCGATAAACAATTTTAGAAAAATATTGACAGTTGAGAGAAAGCTTCTGTGAATATGTGTAGATAAATTATTGTAGACTGTAATAAAATATATAGACAATTTTTTGGCACAATCTATCGACTTCTATTATTATTTAAATCGATATTAAAACTAAGATTCTATCGTCCATTTAATTCCATAACATTCACAGAAGCTATAAAAAAATAGTAAAAATGAAGGATAATATTTTTTTACACAATATTATTGAAATGCTCAAATATTCTATATTTTATGTTGATAATTTTATTATCTAGTTCATTGTTGATTCTTCTTAATAGTATTTCTATTATTTAGTCGAATCTTATTTGAGTTAATAAGTTATTATACTAAATACAAATTAGTAGATTAATATAAATGTTAATATTAGTTAAATGTGTACTCGTACCTACGTGTTGTGATAAATGTACTATTATTGTTTCGATGTATAACTGGTCTATAATTTTAATGGAATGTACAAATCGGGCAATAAGTGTAATTGCTCAAATATATAACGAGATGTGTCTGTCGCCCTGTAGTCGGTACTCCCGCTATCCTCTAACATTTTATGTGGTTGTGAAATTAACTCTGTACATCTGTCTTCCGAGATACCTTTCTACGTACCTTAACCTAGCTTTTATTATTTGGGCAGTATTCGCGTAAAAGACATATTTATATTTTTAAGTTATTTATTCATGTTCACTAAACTTTCTGTAGATAAATATTGAGTCTTTTAGTCGTCCGCTTTTAGGTTTTGATACAGTAGCTAAAGTCCATAATATTTGTCCTATTCTTTTTAAGTGAAATGAGTGAACTTATGCCAAAATGCGAGTCAGTTTACTTGCCATTTTGATTTTATGATATTAATTAAAATTCTATATATTTAAGATAAAAATTGAAACCTTATACTGTACGTAATTGTATCACTAACTTGTGTGATTTATTGGTTGTGTTCTATCTTAACAATATTGGCAAATGTTTTCAACGAATGTATCATAATGTATTTTAAGTTTAAACTGGATGCCAAAGTTTTGCCAAACTATTTGCCAAACTAAATATATAATTTTATTAAAGTATTTTATAGTTATATAGTTATTAACATTTTGGTAAAGATTAGGCGATGTTTTAAAAGTATTAAGGATTGTTTTAGATTAAGTGGAGACTCTAATTCAAACCCCAGTCATTTGTTGTGTAATGTTACTATGCTTTGATAAAGCTACCAATTTTGTGCCATTTATTTCACAAGCTTGGATCGTATTTTTAAATCTTATTATAACGAAAGAAATAGTTTTATGTATATGGAGGTAAAAAGACATTGATTAATATTCTCTTTTAATAACGCCTTAGACAAAGTTTGACTTAGACAGTGAAATCGAAATAGTATAAAACAGTGTTCATTATTTATTTGTAAAATCACTACTATACAAAAGTTCTATCGGCATTCGAAACATACAAAATTATTTTCGTAAACTAAATTAAGCCGCAAATCGTGCTATTATGTATATACTCAATCTATTTTCAAAAAAAAACTATAATACCGGAGATAGGTCTATGTCTATGACATTAAATTACGATTTATTAAAGACAAGTCCCTCCAAAAATACTCATAGCTATTAAGACTGAAAGGTACTTTCTAAATTCGCTAGCCTTCATCGGTTCCGCGGAAATAAAGCCGCGAGAACGCACTGTAGAAACAAATCAAATCAAAACACGTTGATAAGAATCTCAATGTTGTTGTGAGTTTTTTAGCAGTGCGAGCTCACGGTTAGTCTTTGTTCTAAATGTTTATATATGTTTTCATGTAAAAGTAGATTTATCAAGGAGTCGCGCGCCCATTCCATGTGTCAACGTTACATACTAGTCAGGGTATAGTTGTGTAATGCCCTTATCTATTTACCGTGGATTTCTGAACCCTAAATCTCTATATAAAAAGCATACCGTCATTTCTTTCAACTTTGACAAAACAGATATAACTTTTATAAACTTTATAATAAAGTTTTCGGTCTCAGAAATCTACAGTTAGCCAATCATTTTCATAACGCGGTGCCAACTTCAAACTGCACCTACATCATGGCCATTATAGATTTCATTAGAAAATATAATCTATTCGACTAGAATTTATCACACAAAAATCTAAGTAAGTTAAAATATTTATAAGATCGAAGATTGTACAATCTTATTTCAATTTAAATATAGAAGTGCCTTACGATTTTATTTTTATATATACGGCTTTCGTTTCATTATAGAAGTTACTTTACTCAAGATCAGGTAACAAAAAGCACTGGAAATTGCATTTATAAAGCTCGTAGCACTCACTCTGCTAGACCAGAGTCGCTGTTCACGTGGAGCTGTTTAGTTCAATTGTTATTCATAAATTATCTTGTATATTTATTTTATTCTAGAGATCACATTTGTGCCACTTTAAAGTTAACATCGAAAAGACGCGTTGCTTTTTTACAAAAGAAAAAATATTTCATAATCTAATATCCGTCATCATAGTCAGAAAAAGGTCAATTGTAATAAAAGACGAAGATAGAATTATATACTAAATGAAGCTATGTAATTTTGAATTACAGAAAAGACACATTTTAGAGTTGTGTTATTTTTAAAATGATTTTTTTTTAAGCAAGTGACTCCCAAACTTTGTATTAGATATCCATTATTGTTCGCTTATCGATGTGCTTCTGTCCAATTCCGATTCTTCTCTAGTCCCGACACACGGCACCAAATGTAAATAATTTTAAATAACCCTCTGTATGTGTCAACACATTGTTATTAAATATAGTATTAATATTTTGTAAGCCTAAATGGATATTATATTCTTCTAATTTTGTATGAAATAATGAGTGTAAGATCGGTAGACATTTTGTCTGCCCTTGATCTATCCTTTTTATATTAGGTTCGGTGACAACCCGACCATTACAATTTAAATAAAAGTTAAAAGTCTATGGTTATCGGATAAATGAATTATTAAACTTGTTCTGCCAAATTTAAAGCTGAAAGATAAAATCAAGGTCAGTGTTGCCATCGTACATAATATAATTACTTATAAATTTGTAATAATAATGTAGACAGTAAACGAAAACGTGCCAAATGCACGATAATTTGATATTACACTCTGTGTTGTGATTTTGAATGTTCTGTAAATTACCAGTCTTTGAATACTATGAAAAAATTTGTAGACACATTTTTAGATTAGCACAATTCTTCGCGTAGACACATTAGATTAAATTTTAATAAGCGTTTAGGTTTAACAGTGGTATAAGTTTTCATGATGTAAGTGTATTTAATTCTAGATTCATTGTTATATTAAATCGATGTGATGATTAGAAAGAACAACGACTATGGTCGAGTCCTCCTGCTGCGCCGGCGCCGGGCGACTCTTCATAACTTCGCATATCCTTGAAACAATAAGTAATTGAATAAAACTCTATTATATATACTGATAAATTTATTAGGGGTAACTAATTTTTTAAGACAATGACTATTACGTGATCTTTTAGATTGTCTTTATTAATAAATATATGGTGGAGGTTTTGTCAAATGGCTTTTATTATTTGAAAACCCTCTTAAAAACACGTTAAGAGTGTTACCACTTTAAAATATTTTAAATGTCAATGAAAAAATTATTTGTTAACTTTCGACAAATCAATGTCCGTACTATTGACATGCAATGATCTGTCTAGTATTGATATTATTATAATGCTGATATTTCTATAAAATCAATGAAAATGTCATATAAATGATTTCCATTTGCTTTACGAAAAAAAACTTTCGTACCCTTTGCTAAAATGAGGTAACAATATTTAAGAGGCGACAACGATTAAATCTACAAAGTATAATAAATTAACACGAATAAAAGCATTTTTTTTTCAGACGTTTATTAACATTGCTTTTCACAATGAAATCTTACCTAAAAATCGATAAATCTCTGTCACAAACACGAAAAACAAAATAGTGATGTGCAACAATAAAACAAAATCAACATTTTTTAAGAATTGCTCACACGCATTTACACATAAAATGTTACAAACAAAAACAACCGACAAGGTTTTAATGCACTTTTAAAAAATATATATGTTACTATGCTGGCAACACTAAATATTCAGTCAGTTAAGTCTAGCACAAGTTATTTGTGGCTGAAAAAAATCTGTATCAATGTATTTTCCAATTATTTTACCTTTTGTTATTTTTTTTTAAACAGGCATCATTTGTTTTTTGTTTGTAACAAATCTATTATAGTTAAGTCTGTGATATATTCTCACTATATGTGAGGTTGTAAGTTCATATATTTAAAAGGAAAATTTTAGACATAAAAATAAAATTTCACATAACAAAAATCGAATCAAGAAAGTCATCTCGTTTACTATTAGAGTCCATTTTATTGATATACCAAGACAGGCCTTTGGTAAAAAATAAAAAAAAAAGGAAAAAATATAACAATAACTGATTTAGTCATTAAAAATTGCGTAAATAGACAGCGTAAGTACGGATTTACTCAAAGTACAAAAAATTAAACTTTCATTCCTACAATAGTTTATCACTAGGAAAATTCTATTTGTGTATTGAGGAAAAGAAAATTGAAAAAAAAAGTACGGCGCTGTAACGAGAAATAATTCTAAATGTAACATTTAAACTATTATTATACGAATGGACGTAGCATTTTACCAACACTTTCACGAACAAGTTAAGGCCTTTGGATAGCATGAACAATTTTTTTCAAAAATAAAAAAAAGTACTAGAACAATTATGAAATCTATGCACATTCAATATTTGAAAACATCTTAAATGTGGCTTAATTATAGATTAAAAAAATGTTTTAAATAAAAAAATCTATCGTATTTTTTAGAGAAAAACTCTCTCTCTTTATAATATTGTATCTGCGGAATCATTATAGTCATGTTTCATTTAAAAATGAAGTGTGGTTGATTTATTTCTATTGGAAGAAACTAAATGCAAGCAAAATAAAAGACTATCTCAGAAGGCACACAAATATTTTCTTTTCAACCGAAATCAAGCATTGCAAAAAAGCAAATTAAATTAACCGAGGGTTTCCTTCTCAAAAACACATTCATATAATAGTTTTTTTTATATCTTGGCGACTATGAACTTGGCGCGAGCCGCTGCGCGGAACAGAATTTTATGTGTGGCGGGGAGTAGAGGGATGCGGGGGGAGGGTACCGCACAAGCGCGGCAATGACCTTGAACCGCTAAGTTATTTGAAACTATATCTCTATTTAATTAACAAGAATGAGAGATATAATTTTGTATAGATATTTATGTGTGGAAGCCCACATTTTGAAATTATTTGTGATATATAGAACAAAACATACATTAAGATAGGTCTAATAAAGTGAAATAAAAAGCTATTTGCAAACAGAAAGGTAGGAGTAAATAAAAGTAATTATATTCATGATATCCACGAGGCACGCGCAAAGTCAACCCGATCTAACATTACCTAATGGACTATACGTACAGTCAGTCCGGAATCAGTGGTAAGTATGCAATAATTTAACAAAAATATTACGTATAATACTAAGAAAGCCTTAAATTTTATAATTGCTATTGAAAATTTAAATTTTATTATTACATTTCTTATATTGGAAGCAGGTTTAGAGACTTTAGCAATTTCAAAAAGTTAAGTTAATTTAAAACAAGGATTTTTATATATTAAAAGCATTTAAATTGTTATAAATTGGCAAAGTAATTATATAACACTATTTAGGTTTTAGATATTATAAAAATTGTCACTAAATTCTGCTTTATATATAAATGGAGGAACAATGCAAAAATCCTATAATCTATTCAATAATCTATCACTACCAACAACTTTAAAACACTAACATTTACGAAAATCCTGTTCCTTATTGCACCTCGATGTATTCATTAAAAAACATTCAATAGTATCAAAATAATGTATATATTTTTAAGTCATTAGATCAAAAATAAACTCTATTCCATTCAAATAAGGTCACATTTACTTTAATTTAGGTTATTTATATCCCATGTTTTCGCTTTCCTTAAGAGCTCTGAAGTTAGCAATAAAACAAACATCTCTCTTACATCTCATTTGCATGTTTTCTCTCTCTCTCTCTCACACTATAATTCCGCAGCTAACTTCAAGGTGTCAAAAAATCTAATATTTTACGCACAACCTATAAAATTAATCGATGATATCATTTTAATTGCTTCACAGTTTTATTTATACTTTAATAAATTGACTTTAAAAAATTTAAGTCATAATAGATATTTATGTAATCAATTTACATATAAAAATGTAAATTTCTTACTTATACCTATCTTACTAATATTATAAATGCGAATGTTTAGATCGATGGATGGATGGATGTTTGTTTGATATCTCCAGACTGGCTGAACATATTTCGATGAAATTTGGAATACATATAGAACACAGTCTTTAAGAACACATAGGCTAATTATATTTTTTTTATTCTGCGCAGACTGAGTCGCGTGCGTCAGCGAATTTTTAATATATTAAGATAATAATTTTGACCGTTTTTTCCGTAACTTAATTCTTTAAATGTCCTATTACCGTGCGTAGCTCTAAAAGAAAAAAAAATCATAGGACGTACTCTGGTTTAGATTTAAAGATTTATTCACGCGCACATTATATTCAAATATAACTCGAATAACTGCATTGCTTTATAATTAATCTTTATAATACCATCAATATTGGTGTCAATTCGATATATTAACTACACATTATAAATCTATTATCAATTCCTTTAAAATACACTGATTTTGTGCTTCGATATTTAAAAATGGTAATAAATTAAATCTTAATACACTAAAATATTACATTCCAAATATAAATCAAGAGTTTTTAAATTATAAATCTATAAAGGCAAGCTTGGAATTTCAAATTTCCCAAAATATACAGAAATAATACACTCATGCGATGAAAAGAGTTACATATAAGAGATCGTAGAGATGGGACTGTTTACATCGCATGGGTTTTTGTTAAATGATATAAATTTATTGCAGATTTACCACTGATATGCAGACATTAACTATTCTGTGGCCACGTGTTTGCGATGACGTCACTCCAGTCGGCCAACTTTCTTCCCCTTCACTATCGTCGGCTTGTTCTTTAGCAGACCTTTTCTTCGTTTTGAAGTCTAAAAAAATCAAAATAAATTAATTAAATAGAGTCAACGTCACTACAAAACAAATAACATACATGGAACATATAAATGAATAAAAAATGCGTGTTAATGTTTATATACCAAAAAAAAGCATAGTACAGTCGCGGAAATCCTCAGTGTTCCACTTACAGAAAAATTATCTCGATTCTAGCATCGAGACAAACTTCACCCCTTTTTATAAATAACCAATCCGGTAGCAATGAGTTTCGCAAACGACGGGATAAAAGTAAAAAATAATTAGTCGTGTACCACCAACTCTTTTTTCTACAGAAACATTAAAAAAATGCGTCCCATTTTATTGCTTGCGCGCCGTCGTGTTAATGCGTACGAAATGTTCAAACGAATATCGCCTTAAAGGTGAAACATCGACAGTTTCCCCGACTGTACTTGCAAATATATTACAAAAATGATAACATGTGTAACTATGAAGATTTTATTCTACACTTATTTCTTACGAATTTTATGAAATTAATGAAAGGGTACAAAATTATTTTATTTAGCAAAATTTTTTTTAAAACAATTTCACGTAAAACGTGTAAACACAAAACAGAAGCACACAAAAAAGAACATCATAAAACGATTATTACTGTGTCATACTGTACCCCTGATCCTAGGCCTGATGTAAACTGCAATAGGAAAAACAATATTATTAAGCGAGTTATAAGCATTAGTAATACTAAGCCAATGCACTCTGCTATATAAAATATTTCGGACATGCTGAGCTCTATGGCGGCATCTTTCCTCCCCCAGGTACACATACATATATTCTTATCTTATTAACAATTTACCCACCTCCATTAAATCCATTGAGGTAGCACATTAATATTTTATTGCATTATTATACAGCCATCTTACTGTTAACTACCTTCATAGTATATTTTCTAGTGAAATTTTATTATAAATGTGACTATATTTCACAATTGGCCTGAACTTTATCGATATTTTAAAACTTTAGACGACTCTAAAGTGCAAAAATATTAAGTTAGCTTGTATCATTCACTGAATAGAAATTAAGTTGAATATTCATATTTAAATGTTAGTATTAGCTTAGAACCTAAGTTATAAATACTTAAAAACTGAATCTTATACGAACTGCGGCACTTATCACATCCTATACTAATCACTTACCAAATCATAAACTTACTTCAACACTTATTCATTCAATCGTTAGATTTAATCAAAGCAACTTATAACAAGTACACCAAACGAATCAACTATATAACTGTGTAAGTGCGGCATAAATAATATTATATAAATTTTTTTTAAACTGATAAATAAATTAGTTGCAGAAGTATCGGGATTTGTTATATCTTTTATAGTTAGTGAAATATTATTTTATTAGCAAGCATAGTTTCTTGAAAGTTACATACCTTTTTAGAGACTGCATTAGAGGTAGGAATTGTTCTCTTAGCGAGAGGTATACGCGGCCTGTTGAACTCGTCAGGCTTCTTTACCCTGCAATAAATAAACAATAATAGCTTAGTAAAATACCAATTTTATAAAATTCTATGAAAAGATGCCATTGTATGTAAGAAGGTGACAAAGGAAGTGAATCGAAGTGAGTTGGTACAGTCACCGTCATTCGCACTGTTCCAGTAACACACTAAATTAGGAAATATCATTACAAAACCGTCTTTTTGGTGTCAAACCTGGTTAAGCGAGAGTCCAAAGCACCGCGACTTTTTTCTTTCTTATAGAAGTTTCCCTTTCATCTGAGTTTTCAGTTATGGATGTCGACTGGACAATGACTCTCGCTAACAGAGATTTCTCGCTTATCTGGCTATATATGTCTTTTTAAGTATCTTCTCTGCTCAAATCTGCGCGCTGCGCACTGAGCCACTTTACTTTAGCTATGAAAACATCTATACGTGTGTGACGTCATCGCTCGCCTATCTCCAGTAATAGTGGGGTTTGGGAGGTATTACCTGTATATTCTGACGAGCCAGTGCTCGGAGGTGTAGGCCTCCTCCAGATAGGTGAGCTTGAAGCCGCGGTTGCCGGGCAAGGAGCCGCGCGTGCGGTCATACCCCGGCGGACTGCCGCCGCTGTCGTATCTACACATTTTATAATAAACAATTTACTAAAACAACTAAATACAAACTTTAAAACAATCCAATTTATAAACTAGAATGGTTAATTTAAAAATATAGATTTAGAGCAAATGAAAATTTGTGTATTAGTAAAGTATATATATTGCGTGTACTTACCGATAATACGATAATTTGTACATTAAACAATTCAACATAGTTTTCGAGGCTTCCGAGTCTATCCGATATTCACCGCGCTCCGTGAAGTAATCCGCTTCCTGGCGAATATAGTAAAAATTTCAAACAGTTGATAAGAAGGAAATAAAGCCTTAAATCCCTAATCGAATAGTCGGCCGCCACTCCATGCCTATGTGTTCTTTCAGTTTATATTCTACATCTATGCCAATTTTTTGCAAAATTCATGCCGTTCTGGATATACCTACTAAAAACTACTACTAAAAAAACATTCGCATTTATAAAATTAGTAATATCAAAGGGGCATACTATTAAAAAATTTGATAAGCACTTAAAATTTCACGGAAAAACTAACAATAATTTAAAATAACTCACATGTATATCTCTAGGATGTTCGCCTTCAGCAATTCGCACCATCCATATAAACTTATTGATATCGTCGCCTGAGTAACCAATAGCGCCGCCGAAGATTACCAGCACATAGTCCACGTCTAACATTGACATTATCTCATACGCTGCACTTTCATTGCTCGCCATAGCTTTACCGACCAATGCAATATGAGAATTGTTCCATGTATTATTGTCGACCAAAGTTGTTCTATTCCCCATACCTGCTATCTATTAAAATATATTTTTTTGTTTGTCAAAAAAATGATAAGAATTAAAATACACGTTTATGTTATTTAAAAAAACTGAATAATACGCGTAAGACGTCTTGTTGCTCAGGGATTAAGAATTGGACTTGTAATCTGCAAATTCTGGGTTCGAATCACGGCATACAACATCGTCTTTTCTATTTTTGATTTACACACGGCGTTGTTACGGTAAAATCGAACGAAAAAAAACTCATGCTTGACGGGTAGTATATTTCTTCCATTCACTTCGTCTAAACAGCTTAATAATATAGTTCTGAAACTTACCTGATAACCATAATCCCACCATGACATAATTCTTGCATCTTCTGCCGTGTTCTGTGACAACCAACCATATGCTTCACGGAAGTCGTCTAAAATTTTTCGAGATCTGTTGAAATTAATCCAATTAAATAGATAATTTCTAACTTTAACAAGATATGTTTACTTAATAAGCACTTAATCCTACAACAAGCAACAATTTTGTATACTGCTTTAGTAAACCTCTTTGATTAATATCACAGCCTTTTTTATTCACAAGAAAGCTATGACGTCATCGATCTCCGACCTTTACTCATACACACTCACCCATCATTTCCATAACTGGCCAATACGATACTGGGACTGGAATACGCATTTGACGTAGCCCAAGTACAGTGGACAGAGAACAGCATTAACAGGATCATGAAGGCGATCAGTGTACCGGAGCGCACATTCATACCGAGCACGGCGTCAGCGGGCGGTAAGGGCTCCTGGGTACGCTTCTTTACTTTGCCTGCCTATTAATATATTGTTGTCACTTTTGTTTTTAAATAAAATGTAAAGAATGAAGTTTGAAGTCATACAAATGATTCTACTGTGGAAAGTTTACAGACGGATAGTTTTCGTAAAAACCCATAGGTAGGATAACTAAAACACCAACAACAACCTTAACTGTACTTTAGTAATGTTGTACTAAAATATGTACATATTTATTAAAAGTACATAAGAAAAAAAGAAAAAGTAAAAAAAAATCTGTACTTTACAAAAGATATTTAATAAATTTAAAATAATTTTTTTATAAATAGACTTAATTCTATAGCAAAAAAGGCATCGTGATCAACTATTTTACGCTTTAATAAAAATCTAGACAATAATGTTTTAATTCTTAGACGTTATGAATATCTTAGTCTCCATATGTTGATCATCAGCTCACTACATGTACCCACCGAGGGGCACAGAGCCTACCCTAAGTTAGGGGTGACTAGGCCATAGTCAACCGTGCTGGCCAAGTGCAGGTTGGTTGACTTCACACATATCTTTGAATTTCTTCTCAAATATGTGCTGTTATTTTGTAATAACAATATTGTGAAACATAAATATTCTAGACCTAGCGAAGCACAATCTTGCTAAAGTAAACAGTACACGACAATGGCAACTAAGAATAACTCTCATTGACTTGGTAATAAGGTACATACAAAATGACATTGGAAATGCTACGGATACAGTATTTATTATCATACTAAGTCTATATGTTATATTTGCATATAACATAATATATTTCACAAGTATTTAGGATTGTAAAAACTTGTGAAATATTTAGAACTTTTTTAATAAAATAAAAAAAGAAATCGAATTCAATGCTTCACGTCTCAAATATATGCACATATATTAATATTGATAAATATAAATGTATCCTGTTTTCGTAATTCCTTATTAAAACTTTAACATTGGTACTAACTTATTTGTGTTACACACACCTATTTATAGTTAGACTAACTTTCCAAAATTTGACCTTGAACAAAATAAATCGAATATGGCACATCATCATCATCAGCTCACTGTACGTCCCCACCGAGGGGCTCGGAGCCTACCCTAAGTTAAGGGTGATTAGGCCATAGTCATGGAACATACATCACTTTAATAGAAAATAATAATTATTAATTTAATTTCATGTAATTTTTTATAAACACCACTATATCTGACCTAGTTAGATTAAAAGATATATAAGTGAATTAAAAATATATTTACCTTGTCATAAAGATTCTTAGATTCTTCCGGCTCAGGTTGAGTCATGATAACCTCGTCTTCCTTCAACACAAGATCAAGGAGTATGGAGAATGCTATACCAGCCAGGATGCAAACAACTGGTGTTAACGTCAACATCAGTCGCACCATCACACCCGCGAAGTATACCGCACTTAGGGCATACAGAGCAACTGAAATTTTACATACAAATAACTGTTTCCACTGTTGAAATACTTGTATTCAAACATATTGCCATCTCTGTCAAACTCTTGGGAAAAACAGAGATGACAAATATGGTGTACAAATTGATTTATATTTGTTGTATTCAGTAAATATAAAATACTACTTCTACTTCTAACACATCCATTGTTAAGTGTTCGTTTTCGTTCGTTCAAAATTTCGTTTAAAATATAATATGATTGCATTTAAAGATTTAAACAGAATTTTATAATTTAGTTCATTAAATTAGGATAAGAAATATTTTTATGAATATTCATCTATGTCTCAGTCTTTTAGAAACATCTGGATTTTCCTATCTATATCTGATTTGGTTTGCATGTGTCTTATACCCACAAAATATATACTATACGCAACTCTTATAAAACTGATATTTTAAAACAAGAATTGGGTTACGTTAGTTACATTTTCAATAGAGAAATTACTCAACAAGACTCAATAGTAATCTTAAGAGCAATAGAAGTATGTTTAATAGTATAGCAACAAAATTTCGTACAATTAAAAAGATATTAAACCATGAAACATGAAAATTAATTGGTTACATTTGGATAGCCTTATGCCATAAAAAAAACAACTACTTTAATTCAATAAGAAATTTTTCAAAATGCATTTAAGAATAACATCACTAAGACAAAATAATAATAATAATTTATTTAGACGAGATCTATTATAAAAAAAGTATTTCAACCACTCTGTCATACTTCCAGCAAAGGAACTTATTGTAGTGAAGACAGTATATTATTTTTACTTCTTCTTCTTCTTCTAGTGCCTCTTCAGTCTTGAAGGTTGGCCGCTAACTTCGAATATTTGGTTCTGTCAAGCGCAAGGCGAAACAGTTCCTCTGCTGACCTAATCCCCGTCCACTCCCTTTATATTTTTACTTAGTATTCTTAAATTTCCAAAACATAGTGTGACATAACTACTGTCATTCTCTGCGTAAAAACTATGATAACAATGTTTTTGTATAGGTATATTGGCATTGGAAACTCACAAGTAGAATCACTTTTATGGTGAAGTCAAACGTAGATAAGCAAGAGTCTAAGGGACGGCAATATTATTCTTTCTTATGGAGGTTTCCGTCCAACCCGAATACCTCAGTAATGGAGGTCTTTCATTGAAAATGGACAATTTCTCGCTTATTTAATTCCTGTATAGCCATGTTTAGTATATGGGTAATTGTGGGTTTAAATTAAATAGAAATTACCAAAAACTCTTTCATCATTAATATTCTTGATGCAATACCACAATCCTACTGGGAAGGTGCAAACAAGAACATGCAGGTCAAAGAAGAATGACGACCAGGTTGTCGGCTGATGTTCTGACACCGATGCTATGATAGGAATATGGATCTTTGCATAGCCTGTATCCCATAGAGAATAAAACCTGAAAGAAATTATACATGTCAATGTGGCCTTAATATGGTATCAGTTTAGCTTTATAACTGTGGGTTTCTGATACCAAAATCTCTGTATAAAACATATTGTCATCTGTCTTTTATCTTTGACAGAACAGAGATAACAATATGTTATAAACAGGAATGGTCTCGAAAATCCACCGTAAGTAAAAATGCTGCGATTGTACCTATATTAGAGGGACATTAATTTAATTACTACTCCTTTCCTATACTATAAATATGAAAAAACACAAAAAGTAATTTCTGTTTGAATTATTTTGTGTGATTTTAGTTTTTTTTTGTGTTTTTAATTGTGTTATAAGTGTTGTAATGTCTTTGAACAGATTAAAGGTCTTATTATTATTATTACTGCCCCTAATCCAAGGCATTCAATGAATGTATAAGCATTTATTGATATATTACTTACCGACCACTCCATGGTGCAATAACACCCATGTATGTCAAGAAAACAACCATAATGAAGACTAAAGCAGCTGCTGTCAATCCTCCTACGATTAAAAGCTGTTTCCACTGACCCTTTGGGTTTAAACTGTGTAAATACTTCATGGCACCGATAGCCATTAATAATGCAAACACACCTACAAATATTACAATTATATGATAGTTTCAATAAACAAATTTATTACATTCACATGACAAAACTATGTTTTAAAAAAAAATTGTATCATCATCTGATCACTATAAGTCCCCACTCCGAGGCTTGGTGTCTACCCTTAGTTAGGGGTGACTAGGCCATAGTCAACCACTCTGGACCAGTGAGGTAGTATATGAATTTTATATATCTAATAGTAAATCAAAACATAAGATTGATTTTCTTCAAATTACTATGAATCAAAGGTCAATTATCAATTATAGTTCAATAACACAATTTAGCTTAGCAACATCATTAAATTTATTATGAGAAACTTTTACAAGTTTGAAATTATTTCTAAAACTTGTATATTTCTGTAAAATGCCAAAATATTTTTATAGGAATCTTTTAAGGTGGACCAAATTTCAATATTATTGTTAGTTATTTTAGAGTTTCCAACATATTGTGGTACAAGATTTTTATATATAAGACAAAATTAGCAATTTATATTTACCTGATGCAGCCATATGTTCACTGGTACGAATAGGCTGGAAACCTACAAATGGTATCTGCATAGACAGTAATAATCCTATGATATAGAATACAGTGTAACTCACAAACAATCGTTGTGAAAACCTGCCCATGATAAGCAGAACAAACACATGAAGTGGTATTAAGTTTATAATGAACACATATCCACCCCATGCTGATACCTAAAACAAATATTTCATTGATCATTTGAATTAATTTTATCTTACTTATATTATAAATGCAAAAGTTTTTTTTTAAATATATAAATATAAGCAGATTTTTTTGTAAATTTACTAATATTTATTTTACCATTCCAACTAAGCTCTAGGCTTGTGCTAAGATATGGTTTACAACAATAGTTGTAAGTTCTAAATGGATAGATGTTTGAAGGTATCTCTGAAATGGCTCAATGAATTTTGATGACATTTGGCACACATGTAGAACATAGTCTGGAAGCAGCATAGGATACCTATTAAGTTTTTTGTTATAATTTCCCATGGACAGAGTTGCAGGCAATAGCTTGTCTTCCATAAACTAATAAATAGCCTTACTACCATTCTCACAGATAATCATTGATTGCTACTGTTCTTATTGGATATTTAACATTATTGAACTAATGACACTAAAACTGAGACTTGCATATTCTGATAACCTAAGATAACACAGATGCATAAAATTAAAATATTATTTATTTAATACATAAAACACATACCATATAAAAATAGGAGAGTGCAGTACATATGGACCAAGAGACTGATCCACTTTTAACACTTCTCAACCAGAGATAATATGTAAACTGGAGAGCAAAAATTGCAATGCCTTCATTGTCATAGCTGCCAGCTACTGACCTACTGCTGTAGCCTGGTACTATAGCTATGAAGCAAGCTGCAAATAAACCAGCTCCCCTTGACCAAAGCTCTGAAGTTAACAGGTAAGTAGCTATGGCCGTCAAACCACTGTAAAAAAATGAACAATTTTTTTTAACTATGCTGTATTTAATACAACTATATTGTTTAATTTTGTGAATAAATAATAGTAAAATTTAAAACTCTGAAATCAATGATACATTACATTAATAAAAAGGAGACTATATACCTGAATACAGGTGCAAGAAACACACAAATGTCTCTTATATGAATTGGTATGTTCAGGGTGTGTAATATCCAATGTATGGTGCCTGAGGTTATCATGAGGCCAGGATATACTGTTCCGCCAACAATCCGGCCGAGAGGATACCACGCGCGCTCATCAAACCAGTTAAGAAAGTTGTAAAAGCCATGTTGCACCATGTACGCGGTGGATCTATAGTTAAACCTGAAACACGTATGACCACGTCAAGAACAAAATTTTGGTTATTATTTTGAGGTGTTGTTTTATGATTACTTACCAAGGATCGAACTCATGAATTATACTTTCAAAACGTATTACAGCAAATAGTCGAGATGCAAAACCGGCCAACCAAGCTAGTGTCAGAACTGTGACCGTAATCAACGTACTGAAGCCGGCCGTATTTTGGAATAACCCTTTATTGGGGCCATTTACCGGCTTACCCGCCGCGGTCGCCGGCATTTTCAATATAACAATTCTTCTATTTATCTAATAATTCACAATATAAACTTTTTCATACATCAGTTCCAACAAAACGAATTTTAATGAAATTGATTGACTTTTCAGTGACGGACACGTCTCTCTCTTAGGACTGTGTTGCTAGGCTTAAAAAGTAAGAAAACCAAAGATTCCAAAAAGAAAAAAGTTTGTATTTTTTATACTCTTTGGTTTTCACTATTATATACTCTTTGTCCATCATTGCAGCACTATGATTTTTTTGACAATTAATTTGACGTAAAATTATGCAAAGTTGCGATGATGTACTCCAATGTACTCTTTGATCAGATAGTTGTTTATGGTTGTTTAGTAGTGATATCGAAATGAAAGTTTTTTAATAAATTTCAAAACAATAAAAAGGAAATTATACAGCGAATCTATCCACTTTAGAAATATAAAGTCTCTACCGACACTTAATTTATTAATATGGCTAATTACCAAGAAATTGTACACTTAAATGTCGGTGGCACCAGGTAATTTTTAATAGATTTCACTTATTTTATTTACATTTCAATTTTTATTTATAAAAGATAAATATTCGTAATAGATTTTGTATTGTGTACACTTTATAAAATGAGAAATCGTAAAAATATTCGTTAATATTTCAGGTTTGCTACTTCTTGGCATACATTAACTTGGGTTCCAGATACATTCTTTACAGCTTTACTCAGCGGACGTATACCCACAGTGAGAGATGAGACAGGTGCAATTTTTATTGATAGAGATCCCAATTTATTTGGCCTTATTTTAAACTTTCTTCGCACCAGAGATATAGATCTGACCACTGTAAATATAAGAGCACTTCGGCATGAATGTGATTACTTCGGCATAACTCCCCTCAGTAGAAGATTGGCGCTATGCGATGAGATGAATCATTCAGCCTGTGGAGATGTATTGTTTTATGGGTACTTACCTCCACCATGTAAGTTTTCTTATGAAATTTACTTTCTTAAAATTCTTTAATCTTAGTTAAAAAAATTCAAATTTTAAATTATGCTTATTGGAACAACACAATTAGACATATTCAACACTATGTTTTCTCTACAATTAATATTTAAACATTTATTATTAATTATTTATTTCAATCTTATTAAACCATTGGCACATTTTGTTTTTAGTGAATCCACCGATTCCGGGTAATGGGAATAACAGAAACACTACAAATTGTTCAAGAAAGAATTCTACAGCTTCTAACACAGATGTTGCCACAAATAGATCTCATTCCAGAAACTCATCCCTTGACCTTCGCACCGTTGGTAGAATACCATCACAAGATCAACTGAGGTTAGTACATAAAAATAATGTAATAAAATATAATCTAATGATAACACTTCACTGAATGTATATAAGTAGTTACAGTTATAATGTAATTAGTTGTCACCCGCGCCTGAGTGAAATTAAAAAAAAGCCTAGCCTATGTATTCATCCAGATTATGTTCTACATTTATGTCAAATTTCAGGGAGATCCAAGCAGCCATTCCTGAAATACCTCCTAATAAACATCCATCCATCCATATATCTAAACATTCAAATTTACAATATTAGCAAGATTTTAATGTTGAAACATAGTTATGTGAGAATGAGTAATTATCAGATTTAAACATGTCTAATGTTACTATAATTTTCAAGTCCTAATCTGAATTTGTAAGGCAAGTTGGTAGCGCTGAAAATGTGAGATTTGTTCTACTAACTACTCAATAAATTTAGTGCAATATTCTTTGCCGTTTCAGCCGTTGTGGTAGAGGACACTCTAGGGCAGCTTCTCTCGGCAACTCTGAAAGCCATAAAGGTTTGCGTCCACCTGAAAGTATGCTTGTATCAATTCATTCTAATAACTGCATTGTAACAGTACTATTTTGACAAAATTATTTTGTTTACTTTTTAGTAAATACTTGGGCAGACAGTATGAAAGTACAAATTATCAAGGCACATCACAACTGGATAGCTGTTGCATATTCACATTTTGTTACCGGATACAGGTATGTTTGTAGCCACAATGTATTGAAACCTAAGTCAGACTTATTACGTAAAAAAGTTTTTTATAGTTTATATTCCTATAAGTCTCAAATGTAGAACCTAGATGAGCTTAGAAATAACAAAATAGGGAGTAGAATGTGCATGCCTATGTTTGTTAGTGTAATTTTTGTAATATTAAGTTCAACTTGAATAACTTAAGGTTGGTATTAAATTAATAATGTCATAGACAAATCTTTCTTTGTTAATAAATTGTTTGAAAATAATAGAAATATCTCTATTATTGTGGAATTTCCTATTGTTATCTTATTGAGTCATTGAAGAATAAAATATTTGCTTTACATCCTGGTCTATTGTTTGCCACTATAATATACAGTAAAGAGTATTTATTTAAAATATTGTTTACTTTCAGATTAACTGACTCATGTGGATGGTATGTGGTATTTCAATCACCAGTACAAGATTCTGTGATAGAACGGATAGCATTGAATGCTAAAACCGGAGGCAGTGCTACATCAAGTGGGAGTAATACATCCGGTACTGATGTTATGCTGGGGATAGCGAGTGGTTCACATGTGAGGTTGTGGGCCTTCTCAACACATACAGAGCCAGTCAGACGGACATTAGTAGGTAAGAAAATAGTAGAAAGTTGTGGAAACATTCCTAGTAGTAATAAGATTAAATGGATAATTTACTTATGTAAAGTACAGTTGGGATTACTGACAGTGTTCCATTTTTAAAGTGATAATAATTTAAAAGTCTTATATGCTTTGTAACATTAAATGTCTGTTGTAACAATAGCATATTCAAAGTTATGTTTTTTTTTTAAATTTAAATATGTATGTTGCAAAGTTTAAAGCAAAATTTCTAAAACTACTACATTGCAAACTATAGTGACTGTACCAATATAAAGGACTCCCACACTCTCTTAGTATATCTTAAAGATTTTTTATTGTACTTATACAGCATGTTTTATTATCTTCCAGGTACATTCAACCTTGGTGTCCGTGTGGAGCACCTGTTATTTGTAGGACCACAGCTGGTCGCGCTGAGCGGCGCGGGCAGCCGCAGTAAGGCAGGCGTGTGGCACACCAGCACGCAGCACTGGCAGACACAGGATGTGGCACACCTCACCACACATGATACAGCAGGCTCCTTCCTCTTACTGGGCACTGCTACTGGTGCTATTAATTATATTGGTAACTATGAACATACTAACACACAGAGTTGTATTATGTTGACTTAAACAGCCGCTTAGTATAGATTTTTCATACTTAATTTAGTGGTAAAGTTATTTACTACTAGCTTTTGCCAGCGACCTCATCCGCGTGGATTTAAATCTAGTAATAAATATATCCTATGTTACTCAGTGATAATGTAGATTGGTAAAAGAATTTTTGAAATTGGTCGAGTAGTTTTTGAGTTTATTTGTTACATACATAAATACAAATTATTATTCTTTACTATTACAGATATATGTAGATATAATTAAATTTATTTGCAGACATGCAAAAGTTTCCTCTGCGTATGAAAGACAATGATCTATTGGTAACACAATTGTACAAGGATCCCAATCAAGAACCAATCACGGCAATATCAGTCTATCTTACACCGAAAACCAGTAAGTTGAATATTCTATTTATGTTTATTTATCTATTACCTATCACTTTGTTCCTACTTATGTTAAACTAGCTGTCTCGAATATTAGTAAGATAAATAAAAAGCATAAATTAAAAAAAAATTAATAGATAGTATCCTATGTCCGTCTTCTGGCTCTAAGCTACCTCCTCACCAATTTTCAGCCGTATCGGTAAAGCCGTTCTTGAGTTATAAATAGTGTAACTAACACGACTTTCTTTTATATATATAAGATGTCTGCTGTAAATAATTTTAGTTACAATTTTTCAGGCCCAGGTATGTTATTTTAAATTGATTTTTATCTTACTTTATTTTTTTTTTTTGTAAAAGGACATTTTATTTTGTATCTAGTTTTTTCTCTTTGTCTCTCTGACAATAAAACGAGACTGAAAAAAAGTTCTGTGAGATTAACTAATAAAAATTTTAATGGTTGAATTTCTTTACTAGCGGTCGCCTGCGACTCCGTCCGTGCGGAGTTGCACTCCATGCTTTTCTGTTGGTACCTTCTATGAAACATTCATTCATTAAAACATTCGCATTTATAATATTAGGAAGGATTATGTGTTGTCAGATCTGTGCGGCAACTGGATAGAGATAGCGTACGGCACGCGGTACGGTTCGGTGCGGGTCATCGTGCAGCATCCAGAGACTGTTGGTCATGGACCACAGCTCTTCCAGACCTTCACTGTGCACCAGAGCCCTGTTACCAAGGTAAATACTTTAAACAATTAGCCGATTGATACTTAACTCAAATCTCTTGTTTAGTTTACTTTGTACTTGTATGAAATCGTTTTCTTCTTTTGTAAAAACAATATGGCGACGTAACACCAGTATTACTGTTTCAACTGCCAAATAAAACATATTGACGTCTCTGTTTTTTTTAATATAGAATGTAAGGGATGACAATACATGGAGATATCAACAAGCGTTCGGTTAGGCGTTTAGTGGATAAGAGGTTAATTATCTACTATTCTATATTACTATACTAATATATAAAGTGGAAAACATAGATTTTCAGTAGTTTCGTAAAATAGGTTACGAAACTACTGAACCAATTTGTAAAATTCTTTCACTGTTGGGAAGCTATACTATCTCTGGCTGACTATTATTACTAGATTTATTTTTAATTCCTCGTGGACAAAGTAACGGGCTACTGCTGGTCATAAAATATTTTGTTACCAGGTATCATTATCGGAGAACTATTTAGTGTCGGTATGCAGCGAATACAATCACGTGAGGTCGTGGCGCGTGACTCGGTTCCGCGGAATGATCTCCACGCAGCCCGGCACCACGCCCAAAGCAGCATTCAAAGTGTTAGCACTAGAAGCCCCTACTGCACAGCCGCATAATGACTGCGGTCAGTTTATAATCTTATTAGTTGAATTGAGATGCGCTTAAAGAGATGTACGCTTCACGAATTGGCCGGTTCGCCCGGTGCAATACCACGACCACACAGAAGACAGGCGTCAAGTGGAAGCAATTCC